CCCCTTTTTGAATTGTGCCAACAGGATCTTTAACATCCACCTGTACATGTGGACAGGACCTAATTTTAACGTCTCACCAAACGTCAGTACTTCCAACAATGTAGCGTTCCCCCAACATCAACTGGAGTGCCAGCCTAGACTATGAGCTCAAAGTCTTGACGTGGGGCTTGTACCACAATAGTTGTGGATCCACAGTGCACCCACAAGCAAGCAGTTTAGTGAGGCACTTAATAACGGGGTTGCTCCAAATTAACCATTTTTATTAAATTGTTGCTGCATTTCAAATGCATTTAACTATAGGCTGGTTCATATTATACAAAAACATAATTGTTAAAACATCAGTTATTTACTGCCCGCATAAACCAGATGTGAACTCAGTAACCCCTTTATATTGGATGCGCCTCATGTAAGTTCGAAATGTCTCCCAAAAGTTGGGACAAAATCAACCTCAGCCCTCACCAACGCAGCTTCTTATACTATTTCTGTTCTACAAATACATAGTAAGTCATTACAACAACAACAACAACAACAAGATTTCATTTATAAAGCGCCTTTCACGTCAGGAGGACGTCCCAAGGCGCTGCACAGTTGGGTCATGACCCGAGCAGGGGGGAAATGGTGAGGGGAGGGAAGGGAGGGAGCGAGGAGGGGGAAATGGTCAGGGTGAGGGGAGGGAAGGGAGGGAGCGAGGAGGGGGAAATGGTCAGGGTGAGGGAGGGAAGGGAGGAGCGAGGAGGGGAAATGGTCAGGGTGAGGGGAGGGAGGGAGGGAGCGAGGAGGGGGTAGAGAGTCGAGAGAGGAGCTGAAGGCTCGGTTAAAGAGAAAGGTTTTGAGACCGGCCTTGAAGGAGGAAAGGGAGGAAGCGGCGAAGGCACTGGGGGATGGAATTCCAGAGCCTCGGGGCTGAGAGGCTGAAGGCCCGGCCACCGATGGTAGGGCGGTTGGGGCGGGGGATGTGGAGCAGACCGGAGCCAGAGGAACGGAGGGTACGGGCAGGTAGGTAGGGGGATAGTAGGTTGGAGAGGTAGGAGGGAGCGAGGCCGTGAATGGCCTTGTAGGTGAGGATGAGGATCTTGAAATCTATCCTCTGGGGGATGGGGAGCCAGTGGAGGCGAGCGAGGGTGGGAGTGATGTGGTCCCGAAGCCTGGTGCGGGACAGTACACGAGCTGCAGAGTTCTGAATGACCTGCAGCTTGTGGAGGGAGGTGGCGGGAAGGCCGGCGAGGAGAGAGTTCCCATAGTCCAGCCTTGAGGTGACAAAGGTGTGAACCAGAGTTTCAGCAGCGTGAGGGGTGAGGTAATGCCGTAGTCTGGCGATGTTCCGGAGGTGATGGAAGGCGGTGCCAGTTGTGGTGCGGATGTGAGGGAGAAAGGACAGCTCAGGGTCGAACAAAACGCTGAGGTTCCTGACCGGCTTTGAGAGGTGGAGAGTGCAGCCTTGGATGCTGATGGTGTCAGCGCCTGAGGTGCGGAGGCGCTGACGTGAGCCAATCAGGAGGGCCTCGGTTTTTCGCACGTTGAGCTGAAGAAAGTTGTCTCTCGTCCAGGACTCGATGTCGGACAGGCAGACTGTCAGGACATCGGTGGTCGTGGAGTTGAGAGTAGAGGAGGAAAGGTAGAGTTGGGTGTCATCCGCATACATGTGGAAGTTAACCCCATGTCTGCGGATGATGTCACCACAGGGGGAGCATATAGAGGGTGAAGAGGAGGGGACCGAGGACAGAGCCCTGAGGGACACCACATGAGACAGTACGGGGGGTGGAGGAGAAGCCATTCGTCGAGACAAAGTGAAGACGGTGAGAAAGGTACGACCTAAACCATTCAAGGAGACAACTTGAGATTCATACCAGAAACTTTAGTAATTGGGAAAAGGACTAAATTCATGACTTCCAGGTTATAATCCAACTTTCACCATTCAGATTACATCTTCAACAGAAAATTAATGAAAGGTACTGACATTTAAGAGCAGATATTGGTGAAAAACACTCTTCCTTGGGTGTGGGGGTCTGTGGAGTCAGAGGAGGCAGCAAAGGTCTTGCAACAAGCTTGATAGGGTATGCACATGGGCCCCAAATTGGCAAATAATGTTTAAACAGAAAAATGCAAGATTCTACAGATACAAAGTAAGAATAGGAAACTTACCAAGGAGGAAGCTGAAAGAAATATAGGAATCTTTTTCATTACTCACTATGTCTTGGAACTTGGAATCACATAGTTAAGATGACAATGCAATGCAGTACTGGGGAGGTGAGCTGCACTGTCGGAGACATTGAACCAAGGTCCCATTTGCTTGTTCAGGTGGATGTTACCAAGATCCCATGGTATTATTTAAAAAGAGAAGGGAGTTTCTCCTAGTGTCCTGGCTAACAATCCAACAAAAAAAATTGGTGATTCATTCCATGGCTGTTTGTGGGACACTGCTGTGCACAAACTAGCTGACGAGTTTTGCCCACAAAATACACAGTAAATGCACTTTACAGTATATTCTGTGAAGCCCTTTGAGACGTCTCAATGATGTGATGGGCATTATATCAAATACAAGGATTATTATAATTATAAAGTGATTTAATCAGACCACAACCAGAGTACCTCATACAGTTCTCATCACTGCAGCATTAGGGCACTGCACATGTATATCAATGGAGGAATTAAGATGTCGAAATACATAATTTGTTAAAAGCTAGTTCACAGGTACAGAAAGCAATCAAATCAGCTTGTGGGATTCTGAGCTTTAATAACAAGGAGTCTGAAATATAAAAGGAGATAGAACAGAGTACGGTGAGTATTGCGAGTACTGTGTTCAGTTTTGGAAGGATATATTATATATTTATATATATTTATATTATATGTTATATTTAAGAGGGTGCTCAGTGACAATTCACCAGCTTAATACATGGGATGAAGGGGCTTTGCTCTGATGGGAGGCTCAAGTTATATTCCCTGGAGTTGAGGAAATTAGGGGATAATCTTAAAATAATTTAAGATAAAGAGGGGAACTGATAAGATGGATAAGAGTACATTCTACCATACAAAAAAAAGGGAGCAATGGGGTAAAGTCTGTGTTGTGTTACTTTGCTATGAACAGCACTGTTCCCCTCCTGGAAAATCAAATGTTCCTTTCAGAGCTGATAAGCACCATTTTTATTCACCCAAGTGAGTATTTTCAGAAATTCTCACTCCTAGAGGAGCTTCTAACCTGTATTATTTTCTGCACACTTATTTTCAGATCTACCGAGGAAGGGTGAAGCCTTGCACTCCCTCCCCCATACCCACCCACACCCACCGGCTTTCTCGGGGGCTACCTTACCAAAATCGGTTGGGGAGAACATGAATTTTCTCTCTTGAAACTGCTCACACTGGGAAATTTTAATATTTTGATTACCCTTTACCCGAAGTGAAAATTGCCTCCTCTGTCTCCTTTGTTCTTAAGAGTGTTTTTTGGGTTAGCCAGGTGTCTGACACTGTGCAAACCCAATCACCATACTTAACAAAACATTGCATTTATATTTATATACTAACTTTCAAGTCAGAAGAATTCCCAAGGCCCTGGGCAGTTGAGGGATCACACCGGAACTTGGGGTTGGATTCGGGAGGGGTGGCAAAAGCCAACGCTTGGGAACCCCAGTGTGTGCATTGGGGTACTGCTGGAGTCGAACCAGCTAAAACCACGTGTCTTGCCATTCAATACAATGTCTGGCATGGTTTCTTGCTGCTCGACCAACTAGGACCATCCTACCAACTAGAGTAGTTAAATTCGATCGACCAAACTGAAATGGACTGATCTGCCTGTTTACATCTAGAGCTCCTCCAACAACGTGAAGAATAATCATAATAATAATAATTCTTGCATTTGATATAGTGACTTTCAATTCATTGAGAGGTATCAAAACGCTTCAGGATATAGCTCCCACAAAATATACAGTCAATTCACTTTACAGTATATTCTGTGACGCACTTTGAGATGTCTTAAAGATGTGATAAGGAACTATACCAAATTTAAGTATTATTATTAGGATTTATATACTGTAAAGTGCAATGACCGTGTATTTTGTGAGTGAAACGCAGAAGCCAGTTATGCATAGCAGTGTCCCACAAACAGTCATGGAGTGAGTGACCAATTTTATTTAGGGGGTTGTTGGCCAGGACATTGGGAGAAAGTCCCTTCTCTTTTCAAATAGTGCCATGGGATTTTTAATGTTCAACTGAACAGGCAGGTGGGACCTCAGTTAAACTTCTTATCTAAAGGACGGCATCTCCGCGAATGCAACACCTCCCCCAGCACTGCATTGAAGTGTCATCTTAAACTATGCGATTCCAAGTCGTGACATGAGGCTTGAACACAATTTTCTGGCTCAGAGGTGACAGTGCTACCACTGTGCCAAACTGATACACAAATAACCCACTGATAGATTTGCAAAAAAATCATAAGTTAGCACAGAATGACTCTAATGCTCTATTGCATATTTCAGAGTTTTTTTTCCAACAGTATTAAATCATTCACCAAAGCTTTATAATAACTATTGCAAAATCTAAATCACTACTGTTTAAACTGTCAACATTCATGATTTCTAAAGAAAAAAAGCCCCAAATTCAACTTGTCTTACTCCTTGAGATCATTTGTCTTAAAATTAAAGATTGTGCAGAATTGTGGGAAACTCTTAAATTCTTCAAAACACAAAATACTGCAGATGTTGGAAATCTGAAACAAAAACAGAAGTCGTTGGGAGCACTCAGCAAGTTAGGCAGCATCTGGAGAAAGGAAAGTGAGTCAACGTTTCGTGTCCACGACCCTTTGTCAGAACTCGACCCTTCATGAGTTCTGACGATGGGTCATGTTGAGTGTTCCCAGCGACTTCTGTTTTTGTCTTAAATTCTTATCCTGTTTTCCATAATTCTTTAAAAAAGCCTCAGCTCCCAACAATAATGACAATTCTTACATTTGATGGTAGTGCCTGCCTTTCACGTCGGAAGAACGTCTCAAAGCATTTCACAAGATATACTGTAAAGTCCGGTGACTGTGTGTTTTGTGGGTGAACTTTAAATTATGACTGACCTTAAGAATGATCCACAATTCGGTAGATCTTAAGACAATATGGTTCAACAGACTAAGGCAAGGTGGAAACATGACTTGAATCTCGCGAGTCACTACTTGCGACAATATTTCCACAGACACCCGATGACGACTGCCACCAGGGCAACAATGGTCACTGAACGCATCATGGAATTTGAGCAAGGTAGTTCCTCATCGGACTCTACCGGCTGCTTGCCAGTTAACCATTCTTGCGAGGCTGAAGGGAGCACAGCAGAATTCTGCCCAGATGTGTTGATGATTGGCTGGGGTACGTCGGACAAGGAGTTAACATAGCCTCCTCCAGAATTGCTTGTGTTCAGATCAACCGAGTGTGTTGCTGCAAATCTGTGGTCGCTACCTGCCTCGTTGTTACGAAAGGCTCCTTCGTGTATGTGGCCAGTGTGAACTCTGATGTCAGCATCGCATGACTCATCTCCCTTTTGTCCTACTTGGTGAACCTTACTCCCATCATTTCTGTTAGAGAGAAGCGCACCACTCTTGGAAATGCCTGCTATGTGACTGTTTCCATCATGGGACACACTGCTGGATCCACTGAGATCATAAGAAATGTTGCTGGGAGCAATAGTGCATGCCTTGCCATCGTGCTGGGTGGCTGGGGTGTGATTGAAGGTGTTTTCTGAAGCAACTCGCCTGTTTGCGATCAGTCCTTGGTCTAAAACACCCTGTGGATTTCCATTCCAGGAGACCTGCATTACTGGTGCATCTGACTCCCTGACAGAAGCTTGTATCATTTGACCTACTCCTTCTGAGCCACGGTCAGTAGAAACAAGTGACATAGTGCTGTGTGTGGAAATGGCTCCCTTGCCATCACTGATCTCAGGATCAGGCTGGGTACCGATCAGTCCAGAGATACCTTGTGCAGCTTCAGTTGTGCTCCTCTGAACAGACAGCAGTTCAGACTCAAACTCAGAACCTGACTTAATCTTTACACCTTCCCCATCAGTGACTGGACCTTCACCCATCTTGTGTAGTTTCTTCTCTGCATCAAAGTTTTCCTGTATAAGCAATGGTTGGTGCACATCATGGAAGCTGTGTTCCAGATTATTGTTCTGGTAGCCTTGCAAAGCCTGGAGTTTCTGTTCCTTGAGTGAATTTTCACTGCCATCGCTGTCTGCAGGACTGGCTCCACTGGTACAGGTGTCAGCGTTGGAACAGACCTCTGCAGTGCCATCACTTCCTGAAGCTTGAAAAGTACTTGAACTTATCATCAATTCGCTCAACCTGATTGAACAGGGTAGCACAGTGGATGGAGCCCAGTTATCTGGCTGATCAGTAATATCCAGCAACACCCCTGGTTTCTGAATGCTCTCATCAAAACTGTTCTCATCCGACTGCTCTGAGATTGCACCTGAAGACACATGACAATTTACTAGCACTGTGCTTGAGACTGTGCTTTGCTCAGAAGATGCTACCAGGGTTGCTGCAACTTGCTGCTTCACAGGCGCCAGGTTTTCCTCTGTCTCAGTGGCTCGTATCCTTGGGTTCTGGGAAGGACGACTGTCAGGGTCCTGCTCGTTGAAAATAATTATGTTCTTTTATTTTGAAAACATAAAACGGTCAGTTTAGAGCTGGATCTATTAGCAAAGGAATCATCCAACCATAAATAACATAAATAATATTTGCATTTGATATTAACGTGGGATGCTGAATCGAGGTTCCCCCTTTGTCTGTTCAGATAGACATTAAAAGAGAAGGGAGTTGGTCTCGATGTCCTGACCAACAACCTCCCAATAAAGTTGGTCATTCACTTCATGGATGTGCAATGTGCAAATTGGCTGTCGTGTTTGCCTACAAAGTACCAGTCATTACACTTGATATCCTGAAGCAGCTTGAGGCATCCTCCTCGCATGAAAGGTGCTATGTTAAATGTAAGATTTATTTATTTATTAGCACCCATATGTTAAACGTTTTCTAAGTGTTTCACAGGTAAGTGCTGTTGAGAGCACTGACTGTGTGTTTGTAGATAGATTCAGTCACTAATTTGCCCTCAGCAAGGTCCCACAAACAACCATTGAAGTGAATGACCATTTTGCCTGGAGGATGGTTAGTCAGAAGCTCCCATCTCTTATTAAATAGTAAGTTAAACTGAATAAGCAGGTAGGACCTTGGTTTAACATGTCACAGCATCTCCACTGCTCCTCACACTCATCTTCAAATCCCTTCTCACCCTGGCACCTCCCCACCTCTCTGACCTACGTACTCCCCAATCTACTACCCATGGCCTCCACTTGACTGGCTCCGGCCTCCTACCTGTCCCTCATGCCCTCCGTTCCACCATCAGTGGCCACACTCTCAGCTACTCAGAACGCTCTCCCTCAATCCCTCTGCCTTGCCTTCCCCTTTCCCATCTTCAGATCACATCTGAAGACCTTCCTCTTCGACCGTGCTTATGGTCACCCCCCCATCCCCCTGGCTCGGGGTTGTGCTCCACCACTGTAAAGTGCTCTGGGGAACTACTCTGCATGAGGGGTGCTACATAAATGCAAGTTGTTGTTAATCCTCAGCATTTCATCGGAGTATCAGTCTGAATTGTGAGCTCAAAGTCCTAATGTGGGGCTTCATCCCACAACCTTCTGACTCGGAGGCAATAACACTACTAATTAAGCCAAGTTGGCAGCTCCACAACACAGTAAACCACAGATTAATTTGTTTAAGAACCATTAACAATGCCTACCCTCTGGGAGGAGGGGGGAAGGGGGTAGATAGGTGGCATGTCCTTGAGGCTGAGTTGGCGCTTGTGCCCATAACAAGTTGTAATTTTTTTTAGTGATTTTCACAAAGTAAAAATGTAAACACGCTGAGGCAATGTAGAGGGGATTCACTCTTTTTGAGAAGTGCCACGAGATCTTTTAATGTCCACCTGAACAGGCATAGACGGGATCCTCATTTTAATGTTGATATTTCATGTTAATAGTATTGGAGAACTGTAGATAGCGGTTAGAGCACTCAACTCTGGGTGAGTCATCGATTAACTTACTGCTAGGTAAACAGAGGCATGTGGAGTAAGGAAACTTGCCCAACATTTCGCCCTGCCTTGAATGGAACCCAGGTCTCTCGCTTGCGAGGCGAGTGCTCTCACCACTAATCTACAGAACTCCACTGAATATTCCCTTATAATAATAATTTGTCAATCAGTTAGGGTAAGGTTAGATAGACTGGGACTTTTTCTTTGGAGCTCGGAAGGCTGAGAGAGGATATGTTAGAGATATGTAAGATGATGCGAGGGTTAGATAGGATAGATAGGGAAATAAAATATCTTCAGTGGTCTAGAGGGCATAGTTTTAAAATCATAACTGGGAGGTCCAGAATGGAGATTAGGATGAATCTTTTCACACAGAGAGTAGTGGAAGTGTGGAATTCTCTGCCACAGCCACAGAGGTCTGGCTGGATACAGATCCATACAAACAGCAATGCACAAGCTTAAAAAACGGACAAGCCTGAATCCCATAGGACTATTCTCCAAAACTCGGCAAGTTAAAGGAGCGCAGTCTTATTTAAGAATTGTAACACTACCTGTATGGGCTGTTTCTGAGTCTCTCTGTCTGTTCTGGAAAGTGATGGTTTGCTCTTCATATCTCCCATTTCTTGAATTGGTATTTTTAGCTGATCTGAGCTGGGGCTAACCTCGCTAGGCTCAGCCGATTCTGCAGTTGAAACCTTCAGAGCAGGAGCTGAAGAGCCCTCCGAAGCCTGGAGATCGCTAGCGTAGGCTGAACCCTGACAGGGTGCAATGGGTGAGGGGCATGAGGAGGAGGAGCGAGGGATGGAGGAAGGGACAGGTGCTGGGGAGAAGGAGTTAGGTGTGGAGGTGGGAGAGGAGGGTCTAAGTGTGGAGGTGGGAGAGGAAGATCGAGGATTGGTTGGTGACATGGAGAGATCAACCTCGACTGGGTTGGAGGGGAAATCAGGCACAGATGCCTTTGGGGAAGGAAGAGCCGAGGCAGATGAATGAGGTGCGTTGGCCGGGGAGGAGGTGGGAGGTGGAGAAGGGAAGGGGCTGTGATGGGCCGAGGTGGCCGGGGCTGAAGGGTTAGCCTTAGGGGAACCACTGGGGGGCCACTGTGAACCCGTTATTCCAGAACCTGAAAAAAGAGAAGAAAATTAATTCATTTCACAATCATTTCTTAACAGCAGAATTCTAATGCTTTAGTCTGTGCTGCTCATTCAGTCAAATAAACACAGCGAATGAAGAAGTTTTGTAATTTCTATAATATAATAATCATAACCCTTGCATTTTACGTTGCGCCTTATTGTGTCATTGAGATGTCTCAAAACGCTTCACAGAATATACTGTAAAATGAATTGACTGTAATTTATGGGCGAACTGCAGCAGCCAATGTGTCTCACAAACAGTCGTGGATTGAGTGACTGACCAACAACCAGATTCCTATTTACCGCTAGGTAAACAGAATCATGTGTAGCAAGGATACTTGCCTAAGGTTTTGCCCTGCCCGGGAATCGAACACAGGTTCACTTGAGAGGCAAGTGCTTTAACCACAATTCTACGGCACTCAAGATGAATGACTGAGTGAGTAAGTGAGTACCTTTTTTGTCAGCTACTCCCAATTTCGAATGAAAAAACATCGACTGAAATACTAATGAAGTACCATTCTTTTTTACAATCACACTCTGGTGCCCAAGATAAAGCCAATAGAAACTCACAGCACAGAATAAGGCCATTCGGTCCATTGTATCTGTACTGGCTCTTTTAAAGAGCAATCCTTTCAGTCCCATTTACCTGCCCTTTCCCTCCATCTCCCAACATGTTGATTTCCCTTTAGATATCTAACGAGTTCCCTTTTGAAAACTAATATAGATTCTGCCTGAATCACCGCTGGCTGACCTTCACCTCAATTCCAATACCCGCCCTTGCCCCTATCCTTTAATATCCTTACCTAACAAACATCTATCCCTTGATACCCTAACCTAACAAATATCATACCTGGTCCTCTCTGTACAGAAAGTATCTATGTTTCTAAGTTTGGATACTATTAAGTATACTGACGTGTTTCCTTGTATGTCGGACACTTGGTTGACCAAAACATATAATTGATTGATTGGTTGGTTAATAATATAAAAATTCTTGAATTTGATATCGCGCCTTATCACATCATTAAGATGTCTCAAAGCACTTCACAGAGTATATTGTAATGGGAAATGACTATATATCGTGAGCGAAATGCAGCAGCCAATTGCCAAAGCAGTGTCCCATAAACAATCGTGGATTGAGTGACCAAAATTTTCTTATTTATTTGAAGAGTTTTTTTACACCTGGAAAGTGATCCACCAATCGACTAAACCCGGGTTGGTTGGTAGGTAGGTAGGAAGTCGATATAGATAGACAGACGGACGGACAGACAGACAAATAAAGTTGTGTAAAAAAAATTATAAAATAAATGAAATCAGTCAACGTCAACGCTAGTACTTGCCTCCGCTGGTCAGAGACTGAAATTCCTGCTTCAGATCACTCGCGAGATCAGTGTACTCCTTTTTCTCCAGCGCCTGTATCAATTGCATTTCCCAGCCTTTGCGGCGTTTACAACAGTCCAATAAATGAGGTACAGCCCTCTCGTTGCCGTCATTTCTGGCACATGCGTTTGTTGTTTCCTAGGTACAAATGTATCCAGTAAATGATCAAGCAAAGCCAGCACTCTTTACTTGACGTTTAATGCAAACACAAAATTATTTATATTTATACAATATATACCTTTTACACTTCACACTGCTGGCTTGGCACCCAGGCTGGGGTTGAGAGCCAAAAGGATGGGAAAAGAGAGATGACCGAAAGTGTGATCAAAAACGAGTGGGTGGGATTCCGGGATGGAGTACCAGATAATGGGGACTGCATTTGTGAAAGCCGGCCGGCCAATGACTGGGTGAATAGAAAGTAGGCTGCTCACTTAGCCAAGGGAGTGGCGAGGTTTGTACGGTTGAAGGATGTTGTTTTGTGCAAATTGGCTGCCTCGTTCACTCACAAAATACACTTTATTGTGAACTCACTCTTTTCGCGAAATGCGTAACAAACATAAGGATTATTATTATAAATGTGCAAAATGCAGAACTATATCTGCCACTAATTTAAAAGGCCCATCTCAAAACCTTCCTCTTTGACCCTCCCTTACCCTCCACATCATCCTCCAGCTTGAGTGCAAACTCTTCACCATCTAGCGCCTTGGGACATCCTCCTGATGTGAAAGGCACTCTATACATGCAATTTACTGTTGTTGGAACCTCTTCTTGATGCCAATTTTACTAAAATAATATCCTTTAATTTGATATAACGCCTTATCAAGTCAAAACGTTTTAAAACACTTCACAGAGATTTCTGTAAAGTGCATTTGCAGGCAAATGAGGCAGCCAATTTGCACACACTAATGTCTCACAAACAGCCATGAAATGAATGGATGGCCAATTTTTTTTCTAACTGGGGAATTGTTGGCCAGCACACCGGGAGAAAATCCCTTCTTTTCAAATAGCTCAAATTTCTGCTCTCCTCAGTGAGATTTTCTTCTATGGGATTCTGAGATAGGCGCTTTAAAGTGGGTAGAATGAGTAGGAGAATAATAATAATCCTTACATTTGATATAGCGCCGTCTCAGTGACTTACAGAATATATTGTAAAAGGATTGTATTTTGTGGAAAACAGTCGTGGATTGAGTGAGGGATTTTATTTTTTGAGGGATTATTAGCCCCGGAAAGCGATCCACCAATCAAACAATCGGGTTCCTACGTACTGCTAGATAAGCAGAGGCTTGTGGACTAAGGAAATTTGCTTATGGTTTCACCTCAGCCAGGAATCGAACCCGGACCCTCTCGCTTGCGAGGCGATCGCGCTAACCACTACACTACTGGACTACGTCTCTTTAAAAGATCGCTCCCCAAAAACAGCTGCGCTGAGTGGATGACCTGTTTCTGTTCTCTAGCATTCTTTAACATTCTTTATGGAAATGGGCATGATACATTTATGTCATGTGCTTTTTTGTATTCCATTATTCCACATAACCTGCAAAGAAAGAAATGGAATTACCAAATCCATCTGCGTGAGGCATGGAAGATGTGGCAATAGTTCCACTGCATTAATCTTTAAGAAGTCTGGCTGACGATTCCTGATGTACTTATATAGCTTGTCACTCACATACGTCATGATTAGACCTTTTCAAGCCTGAAACACAAAAGAAAACGATTACCATCAACTTCACAGGTTGGACATTCTTTTGCACACACAAAGCAAAATGTTAACAACAAAAAATTGCATTTATATTTATAGTTGGGAGAGACAGACGAGGCTGAACATGTACTGAGCCCACGTACTCTTGTACAAGCTGCAGAGCCATTGCAGCTCCTGGCCACTGAAGGAGGAGGTTTCTCCATTCCTGGACTGAGTCATAAAAACAGGGCGGGTGAAGTCAGGCATGAAACTCCAAACAAAGAAGGCAACTAGACTCACCGGGCTGGCTATCAATGGTGGAGCTTGCAACAAACTGCCTACAAAATACACAATGTTCCAATAAGACTGATCCACTTCACAACAAGAAGATTACAAGATCACAATACAATATAATTTACACTTATACAGCACCCTTCATGTCAAGATGACGTCCCAAAGCATTGTCTGAGCACCAGAGCTGGGGGTAAGGAGGAAAAAGATGACTGGAACAAGGGGATACAAGGAACATTTTACCTTGAAAGAGGGCAGGGAAGGAACAATTCGGAGAGACCAAGGAATGGAGTTCTAGAGAGTGGGCGCCAAGTGGCTGAAAGTCCATCTGTCGATGGTGGAATGGATAGAGCGATGGATGTGTTGGCCGAGCAAAGGGGAGGCCAAATTGGTATGTGAGGAGGTTGTAGAAATACGAAGGGCTGATTTCAACAACAACAACTTGCACTTATATAGTGCCCTTCACGTGGGGTAGCATCCCGGAGCACTTTCAAGAGAAAGCGATGGGGTAGTGGATGGAGCTGCAGTTTACAGACCCAGAGTTGCTGAATCAGTCTATACTGAGTTTGTTGTTCTTAGTTAGGACTGCATGTAGAGGCTAAATTGGCCCTGATCTTCCCAGGGTTAAGGAGGGGAAACCTGCCAAGGCTCCTACTTCTGGTCCCTCTACTCTTTGTGTACATAGTAATAATTGTAATAATAATAATATTAATCCTTGCATTTGATATAGTGCTTTATCATGGCTTTGAAATGACTCAAAAACGCTTCACAGAATGTACTGTAACGTGAATTGACTGTTTGAACCAGCAGCCAATTGCGCACAGCAGGGGTGAACACTGAGTGACAAAACACTGAGTGACCAAATTATTATTCATTTATTTGTTTACTTGAAGGGATTATTACCTTCGGAAAAGTGATCCGCCAATCAACTAACAACTGGGTGCCTACTTACTGCTAGATAAACAGAGGCATGTGGAGTAAGGAAAGTTGCCCAACATTTCACCCTGCCCGGGAATCGAACCCAGGTCCTCCTGCTTGTGAGGCGAGTGAACATCAACAAGACCAAGGCTTTCATGATTGGCTCTAGTCAGCGCCTCCACACCTCAGGGGCTGACAGCATCACCATTCACGAATCACAGTCTATACTGAGTTTGCTGTTCTTAGCCAGGACTGCATGCAGAGGTTAAATTGGCCTTGATCTTCCCAGGGTAAAGAAAGGGGAAACCAGCCAAGGCTCCTACTTTGTCCCTCGACTGGTTGTGTACATAATAATAACAATAATATTAATCCTTGCATTTGATATAGTGCTTTATCACATTTTCGAGACATCTCAAAAACTCTGCCTCCTTGTCCTCCTTGAACTCTCTGCTGCCTTCGCACTGTTGACCACTCTAACCTCATCCACCGCCTCTCCTCTCACCTCAACCTTCACGGCTCTGTTCTTGACTGGTTCAGATCCTACCTCTCACATCCCTTCCACTTCATCTCCAGTTTCTCCTCCAGCCCCCGCACCGTCTCGTGCGGCGTTCCTCAGGCCTCTGTCTTTGGTCCCCTCCTCTTCAATATCTATATGCTCCCTCTTGGTGACATCATCCCCAGACATGGGGTCAACTTCCACATGTATGCAGATGACACCCAACTCTACCTCTCTGCCTCCACCCTTGACTCCAGGACCACTGCTGTCCTGACAGAGTGTCTGTCAGACATCAAGTCCTCGATGAGAGTGAACTTTCTTCAGTAAGACCGAGTCTTTCCTGATTGGCTCAGGCGCTGACAGCATCACCACCATGGATGCACACTCCACCTCACTAAGTCAGCCCAGAACCATGGCATCTTGTTTGACTCTCAACTATCCTTTCTACCCCACATCTGTGCCATGACCCGCTCTGCTTTCCCCCATCTCCGCAACATCGTCCGGCTCCACCACTGTCTCACACCGCAGGCCACCAAAACCCTCATTCATGCTTTCATTGCATTGAGTATGCAAACTCCCTGCTTGTCGGCCTCCCCAATTCCTCCCTCCATAGGCTGCAGATCATCCAGAACTCTGCAGCCTGTGTCCTCTCCTGCACCAGGCTCCTCGACCCTATTAACCCCATCCTCGCCCGATTCCACTGGCTTCCCATCACATAGAGGATACAGTTCCAGACCCTGGTTCTCACCTTCAGAGCCCTCCACAGTCTTGTTCCCTCCTACCTCTGCGATCTCCTAAACCCCTACCACCTTGTCCACTCCCTCCACTCAGAGGGCTCCAGCCAGCTTTACTTCCCCCACCTCGCCTGCCCCAGCATTGGCACTCTGCCCCCACCCTCTGAAACTCCATCCTGCAGTCCCTCCATCTCTCCCCCTCACTTGCCTCCTTCAGGACCCATCTCAAGACTCTCCTCTTCGACTGTGCTTTTGATCACCCTGCTTCCCCTCCTGCCCTCCACCCACCCCAAACCCGACCCCCAGCTTGGATCCCAAACTCTGTCTGTCCAGCGCTTTGGGACGTACTCCCGACGTGAATGGTAGTTTTGTTGTTGTTGTTGTTGAGTGCTCTCACCACTAAGGTACAGGACTCCACAGGGGACCTTCTTTTTCAGCCGGGTGTCTGACACATGCAGAAACCCACATCATGCTTAAGAGAATCCAAATCAAACTGAGATTTCCATGCATCCCACCTAGTTCCAGAGATAGATTGTTGGAATGGAATGCGCACTCTCTCCCTGAAGAAACGAATCCTGGTTATCTAATTTGGCACAGGTTGACAAGAGCCAAGGCTTGGGGACCCGAGTGTGTGTTGGGGTACCACTGGAGTCTAACCAGGTAAAACCGCATAGCTTGCCATTGAGAGCACCGTCTGGCAAGCTTCCCCGCTGGTTATCCAGCTAAGACTACCCTACCTGTTAGAGCTTTGGTTTGCTGGCTTGGTTATGATGCCCTTTAAGTAGCAATAAACACTGGCCATTTAGGTGGGGTACCAAAGAGCAGCCAGCCTTGTGGAGCCGCACCCTAGCAAGAGGAGGTTCAACCAGGAGCACAGAGGCATGTGCCGGTGGGGGGTGTACACCATTACACCATCAACTAAATGGCTGTTCTTGTTTCTCTCTATTCTCTTCAACCTTGATGGTTGACCGACTCTTTGGACTTTGACTATTCATCTAGTGATTAGAGCAATAAAACACAAATTCGTACATGCATTCCATTCCAGACACAAGGATATTTCCACTTGTAGGTGTCTGACATATGTGGAACTCCCAGTTTAGTTTGGGTACATGTCATACTCCAAAAACATTCTATGACAATTCATTAATTCCATTTTCCCGCCGTTCCTCATTATCCTTACTTATCAAGTGTCTATCTATCTCTCTTGAATGTGTCAATTGACTTTACAGTGCTTGCATTTTATTTCCAGAGTTCTTCATATGAAGGTCCCACAAGCAGCCAATGACCTATATTATCTGGGGGGGTAGTTGACCAGGAAAATGTGTGAAACTCCCTTCCCTTTTTGAATAGTGCCATGGGATCTTCAATGTCCACATTCCATCAACTTATTTAAGAGTAAACTTGATGCAAACATCAGAAGGGATATCGGAGAGATTAGGAGGGGCATTAGATTAGGCCTTGTTTGGAGTATAAACATGGCAGGGACAAGTTGGGCTAAATGGCCCGTCATATAATGTTGTATGTAATTCTATGAACAGGTGGGCAGGATGTTGGTTTTATGTCTAATCAGAAGAACAGCACCTCTAGCACTGCATTGAAGTATCAGTCTGACACTTGTGAATTGAAAACTCTGGGCATAGGGCTCAAGCCCACAGTGTTCTGACTCAAAGCCAAGAGTGCTACCAACTGAGTGAGGTTGGCACATGACTTCACATGATTTCACTGTATAAGCAAACGTTGTGCTAGGAGCTGAGAAAAGCTGCAGGGCATGCACTCTGTTTAGGGAAATTCTCTGCTGAAAGTAGGACGTTAAATCAGCAGATGCTCTACGCTACAGGAGTTGTACACAAACATCTGTGATCAATTCAAATGAAGAAAAAATATGCAGACTTTAACAACACAGTGGTTTTAAATTACTGCTCAGTGTGGGTTTTAACTTAGACCCTACCCTATGTCTGACACATGCAGAAATCCATCACCATGCTAAGAGTATCCAAATCAAACTGAGATTTTCGCGGCATCCTATCTATACATAGAAATCCCAGAGATAGATTGTTGGAATGGAATACAACAACAACAACAACAAATTAGGGTCGCGGAGCCTAGTGCAGGACAATCTGGACGAGGGCCAATTTTCTCCAACTCAACGTCAGCAAGAACGAGTCCTCCTGATTGGCTCGTGCCAGCGCCTTCGCACCTTGGGCACTGGCAGCATCAGCCTCCACGGCTGCACACTCAACCTCACTAAGCCAGTCAGGAACCTGGGTGTCTTGTTTGACCCTGAACTGACCTTTCTCCCCCAAATACGCGCCATGTCCGGCACTGCCTACCACCACCTCCGCAACATTGCCAGACTCCGCCACTGCCTCACCCCTCAGGCTGCCGAAACCCTCACCCGACTCCACTGGCTCCCCATCGCCCAGAGGATTGAGTTCAAGATCCTCATCCTCACCTTGAAGGCCACCCATGGCCTTGCCTCCTCCTACCTCTCTGACCTGCTGACTCCCTACCAACCTGCCCACTCCCTCCTTTCAGCGGGCTCCGGTATGCTCCATGTCTCCTACCCGACCCACCCTACCATCAAAGGCCGGGCTTTCAGCCTCTCTGCCTCCACACTCTGGGGTTAGGAGGTCACAGAGATAGAGGGGAGCAAGGCCATGGAGTGCTTTGAAGGTGAGGATCAGGATCGTGCGGGAGAGGACACGGGCTGCAGAGTTCTGGATGATCTGCAGCCTGTGGAGGGAGGAGTTTGGAAGGCCATCAAGCAATGAGTTTGCATAGTCAAGCCTCAGTGTAATGAATGTGTGTATGATAGTTTCCACGGCCTGCGGTGTGAGACAGTGGCAGATCCGGGCGACTTTGCGGAGGTGGGGAAGGCAGAGCAGGTCCTGGCGCAGATGTGCAGTAGAAAGGATAGTTGAGGGTCAAACAAGACCCCAAGGTTCCAGACTGGCTTAGCAACGTGGAGTGTGCAACCATGGATGGTGATGCTATCAGCACAGGTTGGCAAGAGCCAAGGCTTGGAGACCCCAGAGTGTTCCGAAGTCCCTCCACCTCGCCGGCTCCCTTGCCACCTTCAAGACCCATTTCAAGACCCTCTTCTTCGACCGTGCTGGAGTCTAACCAGCTAAAACCGCATAGCTTGCCATTGATAGCATTGTTTGGCAAGCTTTCCCGCTCCTTGCCCAGCTAGGGCTTTGGTTTACTGAGTTACCAGGAACTGAGTGGGAGGATTCCCTGCCCCCAGCAACTGGTCTGTCCTTCCAAGTCCTGCCAATGACCAGACTGGCGGTGTTGTCATCAGGAATACTGTAGTACTCAGGAACTGAACTAACTCGATTCTACCACTGCATTGTCAAACATGTCATCTTGGAGCCAGTTCAGCTCCAAGGAGACCCCCACTTAACCCTCCCACCAGGAGGATAGTCACCAGATAGTTGGTCTACATTCAACACAGCTCAGCAAGTAATGCGAGTGAGCATAGCCACCATCTTCCTTTCTGCACATGTCCCTTCCCATTGAGCGATGGTTCCACCAGTTGGAGGGGTGCAGTTCAAGCAGCAACTGCTGACCTCTCTGCAAACCAATGAAGGTGGACTCCAGGCCCTGAATGTACTAATGTGTGTTCACGAACTCGGACTCCAGGTAATGCATTCTGTCAGACATCTGCCTGGAGGCCCACACCTCACTGACCAGGCAAGCTGACATATGTGGGGAGGTGACTGGCAAAGAGCCAATGGCACTATTTGAAAAGAGAACAGAGTTTCTCCCAGTGTAATGATCCAATGACATTATCCCTGCAGCTGATCCTTGTTCCCAACCATAACATTCATGTTTAGTGACTGTATTCGAATGCACACATCAAGTGAAGCAGCAGTACCCGGAGGAGTGTTGGCTGGGAATTAGGTTCATGAACACCCAACTGAACAGCACAGAGAGCCTCATCATAATGACGGCATCTCCTACAATACAGCGCTGAATTGGGAAGTATTACGATGACGCCTTGACTCAGAGAATCACAATTCATGCACTCAAATTGCTGTGATGTCTGACTGCGGGATGTCCGTCTGTCACTGCACACCAGGAAGTCATGTTGTATGATCTACAGATATTACTTTCTCTCCAGAAAATGGCGTATACAGCATTCGTGCGCAGATCGCGGGTGTTTTGGTTAGAAATTTAAGTATAACTATGACACGTCGTTGCAATAGATGCAATCTGCGAGATCGCATTTGTGGGGAGAGGGGGGGAAGGGGAGAGGGGGGGAGGGGAGAGGGGGGGGGGGGGGGGGAGAGGGGGGGGGAGGGGAGAGGGGGGGGAGGGGGGCAGCCGATTGCAAAGAAATTCTCTCTAACTCTGGGCAACTCCTCTTAAAATAGCAGGAAATCCGAGCGTCGCTCATGTTTTATCTGATCCTACATATCTGCAGCTCTGTCAGGTTCAGCCATTTTAAACCCGTTCGGGTGGAAACATTCAAACCATCACACGTTGAAATAGGATTTAACTGAATAAAACTTACAAATCTGGAAAATAAAGGGCGCTCTTGTCACATCCGAGTGGACGAATGATTCACCTCAATCCTCTCCAGCCTCCGCCTGTCTGTCTGTCTGTCTGTCTGATTCACACACACACACACAGGGGCGGATCCCACACTCTCCGCAGGTCCGGTCTCACTGTCTCGCCAACAACACAGTGAACGCGAGATACGGCGACCCCTCCCCGCCCCCCCACATAGCCCCGCCCCCACACATAGCCCCGCCCCCACACATAGCCCCGCCCCCACATACAGCCCCGCCCCCCACGCATAGCCCCGCCCTCCACATAGCCCCGCCCACCACACACACAGCCCCGCCCCCCCCACACAGCCCCGCCCCCCACACAGCCCCGCCCCCCACACACATCGCCCCCCACACACCCCGCCCCCACACACACAGCCCGCCCCACACACAGCCCCGCCCCCACACACAGCCCCGCCCCCCACACACACACAGCCCCGCCCCCCACACACAGCCCCGCCCCCACACACACAGCCCCGCCCCCCCCCCCCCACATAGCCCCGCCCCCCACACATAGCCCCGCCCCCCACACACAGCCCCGCCCCCCCACACACAGCCCCGCCCCCACACACACCGCCCACACACCGCCCCCCAACACACCGCCCACAACACACACCGCCCCCAACACACACCGCCCCCAACACACCGCCCACAACACACCGCCCACAACACACACCGCCCCCAACACACACCGCCCCCAACACCACCGCCCACAACACACACCGCCCCCAACACACACCGCCCACAACACACCGCCCCCAACACACCGCCAACACACCGCCCACACACCCCCCAACACACACCGCCCACAACACACACCGCCAACACACCGCCCACACACCGCCCCCCAACACACACCGCCCCCCAACACACCGCCCCCAACACACACCGCCCCCAACACACACCGCCAACACACCGCCCACACACCGCCCCCAACACACACCGCCCACACACCGCCCCCAACACACACCGCCCCCAACACACACCGCCCCCAACACACACCGCCCCCACACACACCGCCCCCACACACACCGCCCCCACACACACCGCCCCCACACACCGCCCCCAACACACACCGCCCCCAACACACACCGCCCCCAACACACCACCGCCCCCAACACACCGCCCACACACCGCCCCCAACACACACCGCCCCCAACACACCGCCCCCAACCACCCGCCCCCAACACAACCACCGCCCCCAACACACCGCCCCCAACACACACCGCCCCCAACACACACCGCCAACACACCGCCCCCAACACACCGCCCCCAACACACCGCCCCCAACACACACCGCCCCCAACACACACCGCCCCCAACACACCGCCCCCACACACACCGCCCCCAACACACACCGCCCCCAACACACACCGCCCCCAACACACCGCCCCCAACACACACCGGCCCAACACACACCGCCCCCAACACACACCGCCCCCCCAACACACCGCCCACACACCGCCCCCAACACACCGCCCCCAACACACACCGCCCACACACCGCCCCCAACACACACCGCCCCCCAACACACACCGCCCACACACCGCCCCCAACACACACCGCCCACACACCGCCCCAACACACACCGCCCCCAACACACACCGCCCCCAACACACCGCCCCCAACACACACCGCCCCCAACACACACCGCCCCCAACACACACCGCCCACACACCGCCCACACACCGCCCCCAACACACCGCCCACACACCGCCCCCCAACACACCGCCCCCCAACACACCGCCCCCCAACACACCGCCCCCAACACACCGCCCACACACCGCCCACACACCGCCAACACACCGCTCACACACCGCCCCCCAACACACCGCCCACACACCGCCCACAACACACCGCCCCCCAACACACCGCCCACACACCGCCCACAACACACACCGCCCCCAACACACACCGCCCCCAACACACACCGCCCACAACACACCGCCAACACACCGCCCACACACCACCCCCAACACACACCGCCCCCAACACACACCGCCCCCAACACACACCGCCCCCAACACACACCGCCCACACACCGCCCACACACCGCCCACACACCGCCCCCAACACACACCGCCCCCAACACACACCGCCCCCAACACACACCGCCCCCAACACACACCGCCCCCAACACACACCGCCCCCAACACACCGCCCCCAACACACACCGCCCCCAACACACCGCCCCCAACACACACCGCCCCCCAACACACCGCCCACACACCGCCCCCAACACACCGCCCCCCAACACACCGCCCCCAACACACCGCCCCCCAACACACACCGCCCCCAACACACACCGCCCCCAACACACCGCCCACACACCGCCCACACACCGCCCCCCAACACACCGCCCCCCAACACACCGCCCCCAACACACCCCCCCCAACACACCGCCCCCCAACACACCGCCCCCCAACACACCGCCCACAACACACCGCCCCCCAACACACCGCCAACACACCGCCCCCAACACACACCGCCCCCAACACACACCACCCCCAACACACACCGCCCACACACCGCCCCCAACACACCGCCCACACATCGCCCCCAACACACCGCCCCCCAACACACACCGCCCACACACCGCCCCCAACACACCGCCCACACACCGCCCACAACACACCGCCCCCAACACACACCGCCCACACACCGTCCCCCAACACACCGCCCACACACCGCCCACAACACACCGCCCCCCAACACACCGCCCACACACCGCCCCCCAACACACCGCCCACACACCGCCCACACTCACACACCGCCCCCAACACACCGCCCACACACCGCCCCCAACACACCGCCCACACACCGCCCACAACACACACCGCCCCCCAACACACCGCCCACACACCGCCCCCCAACACACCGCCAACAGACCGCCCCCAACACACACCGCCCCCGACACACACCGCCCCCAACACACCGCCCACCACACCGCCCCCAACACACACCGCCCACACACCGCCCCCAACACCACACCGCCCCCAACACACCGCCCACACACCGCCCACACACCGCCCACAACACACCGCCCCCCAACACACCGCCCCCAACACACCGCCCCCAACACACACCGCCCACACACCGTCCCCAACACACCGCCCCCAACACACCGCCCCCAACACACACCGCCAACACACCGCTAACACACAGCCAACACACCGCCAACACACCGCCCCCACACACCGCCCACACACCGCCCACACACCGCCCCCAACACACCGCCCCCCAACACACCGCCCCCAACACACCGCCCACACACCGCCCCAACCACACCGCCCACACACCGCCCCCAACACACCGCCCCCAACACACCGCCCCCAACACACACCGCCCACACACCGTCCCCAACACACCGCCCCCCAACACACCGCCCCCAACACACACCGCCCACACACCGCCCCCCAACACACCGCCAACACACCGCCAACACACCGCCCCCAACACACCGCCCACACACCGCCCCCCAACACACCGCCCCCAACACACCGCCCCCAACACACCGCCCCTCAACACACCGCCCCCAACACACCGCCCACACACCGCCCCCAACACACCGCCCACACACCGCCCACAACACAACACACCGCCCCGCCCCGAAAACAGAGTCAACGGTACATAGTTCAGTTTCTCTGATGAATATTCCAAACACACTTACAACAACCGACGACAAAAACAAGATTACATGTGTATAGCGCCTTCCACATCGCGAGGACATCCCAAGTCACTGAAACAGAGTGAAACAAAGCGCTGAAACAAGTCACAACTCATTGACAGACCTGACCTGGGTGCCACTGTTCAATCAGCTGACAGGAATAGTCGGAGATATACATTTTGCTGTGTATTCTGAATGCTGTTTCTGATCTGCGAGAGGCAGAAATTCCACTACGTTTTTGTAAGATCACTTCAAATTTAAAATAATGTAGAATTTTGAACACTTTTTAAATTCAGTGTTGATTTGGAAGATGATTTTGACTACTGCACAAACTAATACTCCAGTGTAGTGCTGGTGTGGTGCTGTATTATTAAAAATAAAAATTGGTCATTCCCTTCCTGGCTGTTTGTGGGAACCTGCTGCTTGCAAATTGGCTGTCACCTTTGCCTACAAAATACACAGTGACTGTACTTTTCAGCAAATTCTGTGAAGCTCTTTGAGGCATTCCGACAATATGATAAAGCGCTGATTCAAATGTTAAGAGTGATTAACGCTGTCTTCCAAATCAAAACTAAATTTAAAACTGCCAGGAGGTGAAAGATCCAAATTCATATATGGAGAATTGTTTGCCAAGAGAAACTCACTTTTCTTTTTTAATACTGTCATGGGTTTATCAACTTCCAACAGACAGACGGGACCTCAGGTTATTGGATGGGGACTGTTGACTATTGCTCAACTGCTTCAAAGTTTGACTGCTCTACTACAACAGCAACTTGCATTTATGTAGCGCTCTCCAGGCCAAGTGGCATCCCAGAGCGCTTAACAATGGCGGAGCCCGATGCCGAGCTATGGGGGGGTGGGGGGGAGTGACCATAGACATGGTCGAAGAGGGAAGGTCTTCCAAGTGCAGCCTGGAAATGGGGAAAGAGGGGGCAAGGCAAAGGGATTAAGGGAGGGAATTCCATAGCTTCAGGGTTTAGTGGCTGAAGGCACAGGTGACGATGGCAGAGGGGAGGATTCGAGGGACAAAGAGGAGGGCAGAGCCAGTAGAGTGGAGGCAGCGGGTAATGCAGTGAGGAGAGAAGGTTGGACAAATAAGGGGATGCCAAGGCGTGGAGGGATTTAAACACAAGAGTGGGGATCCTGAAGTTGATCCACTCTGTGACAGGGAGCCAATAGAGTTTGGCAAGGACTGGGGTAATCGGGGTGTGGAGTTTAATGCGGGTGAGAATGCGGGCAGCGGAGTTTGGATGAGTTGAATTTTATGAATAGTGGAGGAGGGGAGACTGGCGAGGAGGATGTTAGAGTAGTCCAGCCGAGAGGTGACGAAGGCATGGACAAGGATTTCGGCAGCTTGTGGAGTGAGGTATTGTCGGATATGGCAATGTGGCAGAGGTGGAGGAAAGCGGTTCTAGTCAGGGACCAGATGTGGAGAAAGAAGTATAACTGGGGATTTAACCTGACACCTATGTTTCACATGGGTTCAGAGAGTTTTAAGGACAGGTCGGGT